GGTGAAAGGCAGTGGAGGAGTGGGGGGAAACCCATCAGTGGTTGCAGATTGTGGGGAAAAGGAATTCTTCCCTCCCCCCGCTCACAGAGGGATGGAACCGACTGCCCTACAAGCCGGGGCTGGGAGGGGGGAACCTACCACAAAATCAGCTGCGAGGAGGGCGCGCCCAGACTCGCTGGGGGGAGGGTTGGACTAAACCATTTGGAGTGGACGGAGAGGGGAACAGGACGCTGCCACCTCACTGTGGGGCGGTGCAGGGGCCGGAGCGGCTGCGGCTGCGGCGTGCGCGGCCGCGGGGTCTGCCCTGTCCGAGGGACAACCTCGGGGGCCTGGCCGCCCTGAAGAGCCGGGATCCCCAGTGGGGGCTGTAGGACAGAGCGGGCGGTGCTGGGGGGCGGCTCGATGCACATGATAAACCCGGGGATTCGCACAGGAATCCGGGGTCCAAGCCGCTCCGCCCGCTGCGGCCTTTCTGAGGCCTTTGCAGAAGAAGAGCCGCTCTAGTGTTTTCCCGCAGTCAAACGCCCAGTGAGACATAAGAGCTGGGATTGCCCGAGGGGGCCTCGGGACTGCTGCCGCGGAGGAGAGGAAGGCGCAGGGGACCGGGCTCAGGCAGTCTTCCCCTCAGCTTCTGGTGCTGTTTCCTGGCACTAGCACCAAACACTGGGAGCCCCGGACAATTACCCCAGCAGCTGGTAGCTCCCACTGTGGAGCCGCCTGCCAGACAAGTCCTCAGCTCCCTAGCCCGAGCAGAACAACTTCCGCAGGCCCTCAAAGGGATAGGCATGGATCTCCTGCCTCTGGGGCACTGCTTTAGCATCTGCCCAACTACCCAGAGCGCTTGGCTGATGGCGAGTCAGGTTAAGGGGTCTTGGTACAACAGAATGAAGGCTCCAGGTTTTATGAACTTCCTGGTTCAGTATTTGTAGACTGCTGAGGTGGTATCAAAGCAAAGGTGTCCCTTGCTCTGTGATTGTAGCTCACTGGGCTGGTATCAAAAGGAACCTTTGAGGTTTCTTGTTCAGCCACTGAGGTGTGCTGGGAGGACACCAAAAGGACCAACTCCTGTGTGAATGTTTATTTAGCACCTCTAGCTTCCTGGGATGATGCTAAGGCTCCAGGCTGCTCTGTTCAGTGGCTCATTGCCTCTAGTTTGCTGGTTTGATATGGAAGGAGACATCTCTGACTTAAAACTACAACTTGGTGGGATGATATCCAGGCTGTGACCTTTATGACTGACCTACTTGAATGAAAAAGGCCATGGGCCCAGCCCACTAAAAATCGAGGGCCACCACTGGTTGGGCAGCCAGAGCCTTTAAAAATTCAACTGATTACCGGGGACAAATCATAAGAAAACAGGGTGTGCACGTGCAGGGTTAAAGGGCCAAAACAAGCGCTCCCTGGCGGGGACACCAAGCAGAGCACACCAGACAGCGCCCACCGGCCCTTGAACTCAGCTAGAGTGCCGGCGGCTACCGCCCAGCGATGCTCCACTTGGAGACGTGCGCGCAGGACACTGAGGAAAAACACCCCAAGGTCTCCGGGAAGACCTTTGTGACTGATTTGCAGTTTCTGCTAAGGCACAGGCCTTTGTGAGATCACTTAGTCACAGACCCTTTGGCCAGGCCCATTGAGGCAGATAACCGTAAGGTTACTGATTTAGGACCTATAGCTTGTTTATCTGACAGGTAGAGAGGTAGTTAGCTGTTAGTCTCAAGTCAGGGCCTGTCCTGCCTTCCACCTTGCTTATCTGGTGTCACGCTGAGAGCTCTGTTGTTTTTGACATAACTCCTTGGTGAAGAGCAGTGCCTCAGCTCCACTGACCGGCTAGTCTAATTTCAAGGCAGAGGTTCTGTGAATCAGATTTAGCAGCTGCAAATTGCTAAGGAGAAGCTCTATGAGGCCACCGGCTTAGCATATGTAGGTCACCTGCTTGATGACAATGAGCAGGCTTCTGTGAACAGACTGATCCCATTCCCACAGGTTAGATTGTTTCTGCTCATTCAGTAAACTCCCACCTCTAGCTTGCTGGTCTGATATCAAGGTATAAACCTTGGTGTCTTCTAGCTTATCAGCTGAAGCTTGCTGGACATCAAGACCCAGTGGTGCAAGGATCCCTGTTTCAGAAACTTGTCTTACTCGGCGGGTCAAGACGCACATTGCTAAGAGTTGTCCTGCTTGCTTCCTCTCTGGCTTGCTTTTGCTGAAATTAAGGCACAGGATTTCATAAGGTCACTGGCTCATCCCTTCTGGTTTCCCCTGCTATGCTAACCTAGTGACCCAATGCAAAATCACAGCTCTGCTTCGCTCAGTGCAGGAACTGGCTCAGCCCTAGTTGTTAAGCTGAACGATCCTGTTGGTTCAACGTGCGCCAACTTGTGGCAAGATGACAGACACCGACCGCATCCTCTGTTCTCAGGCAGGGCGCTTAACTAGGAGCCAGGACCCCGGTGCAGCGAGGCGGCCGGCTTCTGGCAAGGCTGTGGTCCCTCTGCTTCTTCCCTGTCTAAAAAATAGGGTTAAGTGTCTTTGCTTTCTGGAGAGCTCCTGAGAACTGGATCCGTGGGGCCAGTGGAGGCGGGCGGGCAGCCACAGACCGAGCAGCCTTTGCCACCAGAGTAGCCGCGGGCTGAGCAGCCCCAGGGAGAGGGGCCGCGCCGAGAAGCCGCAGGGCTCTGCCGGCGCAGCCCTGGCTTGTACCCCAGGAGCTCGTCCGCTCCTGGAGTCCCACGATCACAAGCGCCGCAGGCGACCGGTCCTGCCCGGGCCCGGGCTCGGGGCACGGAGCGCTCAGGACCCACGCCTGGCGGCGACAGGGTTAACAGCCCCAAGACACCGAGCCCAGGGAGCCCCGCCCACCGGCCTTCCCGCCAAGGGGCGGTGTCGGAACTACGGGTGCCAGGATGTTGCCATTCTTGCTCCCGGAAACAGGAACCGGAAGCAGTTGCGGTCACCTGTCGGGACGGGGCGGACGTGGGCTACAGAGACCGCCGTCCGCGCACTAGAAGGGCTCTCGGACCATAGAGCTGCCCCCTGGCATTTCCGGTCTGGTGACGGCGTCACATCCGGGCGGTTCTGAGATGCCGGTAAGACTCGTGGGGGCGCGGAGGCCCGCGGGGTCGGCCTCGTCCCTGTCCGCGTCCCCTAGGAGCGGCTCGAGCCCCCCATCCCTCTGGTCTGAGGGGAGCCGACCTCGCTTGGGGGCGCCTGCGCCTTCCTCGCCCTGCGTCCTGACTGGCGGCCTCGGCTCCCGCCCCCCATTTCGGGCAGTACCCACCTGCACTCCGGCCCTGTCACGGGGCAGCTGCAGCCCGCGCCGGGCTCGGTGTCGCGGGAGCAGAGCGGCCGGAGGGCCCCCCAACGCAGCCCCGTCGCTGCGCCTCGGAGCTTCGGGCTCCCTGCCCCTTTCTTCCTCGGGGGTGGCCCCTACTGCCTCTGCGTCCCGGCAGGGGCACAGGCTTGGGTGGGTGTTCAAGCCCCTGAGACGTAGTTAGCCCTATTAGCCTGAGGGCGAGTAGGGGGTAGGGACATTCTCACCTTGCAGTTTAACCCGGGCTCGTGCATGCGCTCTGGCCAGCCTGTAGCAAGTTCCCAACCTCTTCAGATTCAAGGCAGCCCTTGGAAAATGCCACATGTTAGTTTTCCCTCTTTTTTTTCGACTTTAGAAAAATGATAGAGTTGTCGTCTTAGTTGCTGAGAACTGAGGCTACAGCCAGGGGATTCCTGTTTCAAATCTCTGGGTTTATCTTGTGAATTATGGCTGCTCACAGCCATGAAAAAAACCCCCTAAAAGGGTGCTTTCCTTCCAGCTGGGCACACCCCCACACCAAGCACTGTGCATGCCCAGAAGAGGCATTGCATTAGTTGGACCTGGCTTGCCCAATGTCTGTATAAATCAGGTGATTTTATCTAATAGCCAGTTGAATCAGCTGTTCGATAAAATCAGTTACTAGATAAGTGCCAAAACGCCCTGCTGAAGCACCCAATTTATACAGATGCTGCGGAGCCAGGTCGAACTAATGTACTTGCTTCTCTTTTAGTAAAGTGGGGAAAAAAAACAAGAAAACCAGCACATCTGTCTGTCCCATGTTTGCAAACCAAACAGTGTTTAACATTGTGCAGCACTGCATGCTAGCCTTGAAAGCATCTCAAGGCATCCCAGAGTCCTGTGGCACCCTGGTTTATGATCACTGGTCTGTAAGGTGCAAATCTTCCCTCTGTCTTTTGTTAAAGTCACTGGCTAGAAGGGGAGGATGGTCCCACAAGTTTGCAGTTTGAAAAACAACGAGGCAAAACCGTAGGAAGAACACTGGCACCTTGGGTCTTGGCTTTGTTTTAATTTATTGTGACTATTTATTTATGTGTTATGCTAATTCAATCCAAGGCACCCACTGGGAGATGCCAGTTCTTGGCTTCTCTTTGGTTTTGACTATGGAAAAAGAATAGAGCAATTTTTCTGTTGCAAATACTTCATAAAGCCCACAACAGGTCAGAATGTTTTTGACGCTATGGATTCCTGTTGGGTTTATCTTCTGAATCGTGTGGGTGTTTGCACACCTAAAAGTGTTAATATTGCGCAGCACCCTGCAGCACCCTTAAAAGGATCTCACGACACACTAGTTAAGAATTGCTGCCCTAAAACATCTTACTTATAGATATATCCTGTAAAGCTGACAGGGAGAACCTTCTTCACATGCCAAAGTTTCCATACTAGGAAGAGAAGCAGAACATCATATCTATTAGGCTTTGGTGGGGACTGTAGTTGTCAGCAAAAGAGGTCACCTCTTTACATTGACTTCCATTATTAAGTCAAGCACTTGCAAGTGTGTAAAAGTAGGAACAAAATTAGATTTTTTTAAATCTATCTTCCTGTCCTGCAGAAGAAACAACTTGTTTAGTTTATAAATTGGGGAAATTGCATGAGAGAGAACTTAACTCAGTGGTATCTGTGATTACTGAGAATTTGTTAACAACCAGAAAATCAATGAATATGAGGAGGAGGGTTGAGTGTTCATGATGAGTTCTGCGAGAGTGGGTATTCAATTTGTTTGTGCAGTGGAAAAGCTCAGGCTCTCACAGCATAAACATACTCAAACATTAGGGATCCTGCACACTTTAAATGGGCCTCAAATGGCCTGGCAATGTTTCTCTGGACATTAACGATAGCAACTATTGCTTTTTGCTACCCTATGGATTTTCAAATTGCTTAAATACAAGAGAAGAATGTTCTTTTAAATTGAACTTTGGTTTACATTGTTTTTTGAGCATTAGAATGCCATGAACACCTAGGCAGATGAGAGAACTCAGAGACCATCCAAGTCAAGAGAAAAGTTTATGTTCAATAGTAATAATTTCTTGAAGTCTGATTCTTTTGTCCATGGATGATAGCTGCTCACATTTTTGTTTTCTTCTTTGTTTTAGGTTAAATTGAATATCTGCCAAGCACAATTTCTTGCAGGAAGATCACCACACTGCTTGAAGGCTAGCTAATATGAGAATAACCCCAAGGGACTGTTCACTCTGAATTTTAAACTCTGTGCCTTGTCCAGGACAGCTGCAGGAATCGGAAACTTGAATCAATGTTATCAGATGAGTTAGAGTCCAAACCAGAGGTGAGGGACTATAAATTGGGTTCAGTTCCAGTTGGGTTCCTATTTTGAGATACAGTTCTCTGTCTAGCAGATAATGTATTTGTCATTTGGCTCTGAATTCTCAAAAAAGTCTTAATTTTAGCAGACAGTGGACGTATCCCATGATTTTAAGAGCACAGAATATTTTTCAGTGGTTTGCATTTTAAAACTGTTTTGTTTTTTTTTTGATTGACTGATTGATACAAATCCAAAGGGGCATGTTAGTGTATGGGTGTTTTTCTTTTATTTTGCTTTCTTGCTTGTTTTTAAGTTTGAGCAAAGTTCCTTTGTCCATCTTTGGAGTACAATAACAATGTGAGAACATACTTTTCCCACTATGAAAAAAGCTGTTGTATCAGTTTCTTTCCCTGTACCTGCACTGACACTTCTAGAAGTTTGGAATTTTAAATATTTCAGAAGTTCCCATTCTCCATAGAGAAACGTGGTTTTGTGTGTTACTTATGACTCCTGCCAAGTTGCCTGGCAAAAACCTAAGAATGTATTACATATCTTCTTAAAGTGACTTTCTTATGTGAGCAATTGCAGAAATTGTCACCAAGATGTTAGTGATGATAAATGGCGGGGGGGGGGCTGTTACTTAGCTAATAAGATGCGACTGTTCTGTGAAAATATTAGACTGTTCCTGAATTATTTGTGGGGTGGAGTGGGAGGGGCTATTCGTTGTTCATGAGGAAGGATTTAAAAAATGCAATTTGTTGTTTAAGCTTGTCTCTGGCACCCATAGGTGACAAAGTTGGGGTTAACAGGGCTTAACCCCCACAAATACAGCTCCAGTTGCAGCACCACCATGCCCTGCTGCCACAGTACTGTGCCCAGTACCCCTGCTGTGAGCTCCTCTGCTGTGTACAGCAGCAGTGTGTGTTGGCCCCACCACAGCCATGGAGGAGGGAGGGGAGGGGGGTCAGGCGGTATGCTCTGCACTGTGCCCTGTACCACTGCCAGCCCATCCAATAATATTTTCTCCCAACGTGTATGCTGGCAGCTCTTGTAATGGGAGAGATTTATATTCTTGCCTTTTGATGCTGCTTAGCCCAGTTTGTTTTGTAGAATTCTTGGTTGCCATTATATAGAAAAAAAGTCAGAAGTTCCAGCTCTGGGATGAGGGGTGGGAATCCTCTGCTGTTTTGGTATTTGACTGCCTTTTGCTGCTCTGTGTGGGTAGACATTTGAGCCAAAGGAGAAGGAAATTTTTATTTAAAACTGCTTCATGTAATAGAATAAGATTGGATAGGACAAGACATAATTCATAGAATGTCCTGTATGTATTTCCAATCTGTGCAGGTGATAGAAGGGATTATGGCTAGCATGTGAATAAATGTGAAATATTAAATCTTTAAAACTGGAAATAGCCTGATAACTTTTGACTCCAGGCAGTTTTGCTGTACAGATTGTTCCCGTTCCCTCTTACTGGTTTTGTTACACCCCCCATGTTGTACCTTGTCTTTAAATTAGTATATAATCTTTCCAGGAGGAAATCTCTTCCTCGGTGCTTGTAGAGCACCTAACGGATTGGGTCCCTCATCAGACTGAGGTCTCTGCATAATCCTGTACTATCAATAATAGTTAGTAAGGTTGATCTTTTAAACTTGAGGTCTGGCTTCGGACTCAGTTCATGTGGTATATTACCATGTGAGTGACTACAATATTTCTGAGAGGTAGGGAAGTATTAGGAAGCATCGTACTTCCCATTTTATCAACGGAAATATTGAGCACAAAAATTTATAGCCCAAAATTTCAAGTATCTATTCGTTTTTGGTGCTGTTTGAGGCTCAATCTTAAGACACCTAAAGCCTGACTCAAAGCAGCAGCAGCTCCCATTTGCTTCTCCAAACTGAGGGAAGCAGTTGCGCAGCAGTTCTAAATCAAGCCCTTGAAGTGTCTCAGTGTGCACCCAGAAATAAGGAGCACACAATCAGTACCTCCTTAAAAAAGAAAAGGGACTTGCTTACCATCTCGTAATAGACCAGTGGTGGAGCCAGGCCCCAGCCTACAGTGTGAACCACTAGAAGAGACCATGATTTCTCTATATGCATCCTCCTTGCTGCAGTCATTACATAACTTCCACCATCTTCATTAAGAAAGGAGAATTCCTGTAGTCAGCCTTATTCTCTACACAATCTAGAGAATAAGAGCTGTTCATGAACATGTCATTAAAGGCTACGCATCTGTTACCAGAACATGACTGTATTATGTTGTGGAATTTCGTATCTTAAATGGAAAAAAATAACTGCATTTACGATGACATTTCTCTGCCAGACAGCAGTGGAAGGCCGTGTTTTGGGCTCTGCTTGTGACAAGAAGATTCTTCCATAGGCCTGAGCTCAGGGAACTGAATTAAGACTTGTGAATGCTGTTTTGTTTTTTAACAATCTTTTTTTCAATCCATGGGTCTCAAAGTAATCCTGTAAACACACCTTCACAAAGTAAATCAATTTTACTTACCTTGAGGTCAATCGTACAGGTTTGGCCTCTTCTTTCTGAGAGGTAGCATGGATGAGGTCTGTTTTTTCTCTCTGCCAGAAATGACCTCATGCAGCCTGTCTGATCCAGAGGGACTCAGTTCCCCTCAGGATGGGGGTCTGTGGTCTTTTCAGTTATGAAATGCCCAGAATAATGAACACAAGTCATTGGAAAAGGGGGCCTGGACCTCCTGATCTTGTTGCTCTCAGCCTGCTGCTTCCTTCATTAAATTAGAGTAGTTTAATACAGGGGACGATTGTATCGGTAGTGATGGCATCAGTAAAAGGAGGAGAATCCATTTTTCCCACCTCTGTCCTGGAGGCAGAGCTCTGTGCTTTCATTCTGGAATGACACCAGAAGCTCAGGAATGTGTATGGTAGTGTGGCAGGAGTTTGAACTCTGAGATGCGGTGCAGAAAGGATGCATAAACATTGTACACACTTTGGTGCTCCAGACTTGGACCAAATGCAGGCAGACTGTCAGACGGACTGAAAAGGCACTTGTTTGTCTATAAGACATTTCTTGTCAGGCTTCAGATTCCTGCTCCAGATTCTTGAAACACAATAGTTGTCCAAAAAGGGGTCTGTCAGTCTGCTTGTCTTTTTAGTTTAGTTTTTTACATGGGAAATTTACCTTTTTCTCTTTGGAAGAGAATTGGTTGAACTGCCTTCAGTTAAGCTTAAAACACTCAACCTGAGCATGGAATATTTTTTGACTTGGAAGTTTTGATCTTGACAAAATAACGAAGGGCAAAAAAATGAAAGTTAAAATGGAAATGATTAAGTAGCCTTAATAATAGACATAACTACCTCTGCTAGTAATTCAGACCTTGATTATATTTTTAAGTAAAAGTTAGGTCCCCCCCCATGAGCTATATACATGTATACTTGTATTTATGTAAAGTAGGCAGAGCCACTGAATCTATTAAGTTGATAGACTTCCACTGACTTCAGGCTGCTGCACTAGGTTCTATGCATGGTACAGCACAGTGGAAGGTTAACACCAAATTTTCAGGTGTTTCGTTGGACTCTGTAGAATGCAGTAAATGGATTTAGCAGTAAGTAAATCCGTCTCTTCTATCCTCTTTTTTTTGTTCCAGCTGCTGGTTCAGTTTGTTCAGAACACATCTATTCCACTGGGTCAAGGGCTGGTGGAATCAGAACCTAAAGACATCACCTGTCTCTCCCTTCTTCCTGTCACTGAGACATCAGAATGCAACAGACTGATGTTGCCAGGTAAGCTCTACAGTACAGAATTTTAAGGGCATGCCATTTGTATAGCTATGTCTAGTGTGCTGCTGCAGTATGCTGCCTCTGCTTCTTGCTGGAAAAGGGCCCCAGCGCCAAAGGGACATATTCTGAAGAAGTGTTGGCACTTTTCTCAATAGTGGTGAAGGTTTATTACTTTAGTATGTTTTTCCCCCAAGCTTTCTCTTTTAAACTATTGAGTTATTTCCACAATGTTTTTGCTGAGGGGGTATAATTAAACTTTTATTTTTTCCCCTACTCTCCTTTTCTTCATTAGATGATTCTCCAAGTCATGATAACTCCTCCAAAGATGTTCCCTCATCTGCTGTCTTGAGAAGTCTCCAGGTAAATGTGGGCCCTGATGGAGAGGAGACAAGGGCACAGAATGTACAGAAACCCTCTGAGCTCCTGTCAAGTCCAGAGACTTCCAGCTTATTACAGGACCTTCAGCCCAGTGACAGCACTTCTTTTATTCTCCTCAACCTAACAAGAGCAGGTAATTCTTCTATTTGTCATTTGGCAGGCTGGGTCTCAAAGAAGAGAATGCAGGCTATCCAAGTACAGCTCTGCCCCTGTTGTTGGAAAGATCATGACATTTGCTGGGCATTGTTGGGTATGTTAGAGCCTGTAGCTGTCAGCAGATTCTTGCAATATAGGTGTTAGTGGAGTCTTTCTGTGCAAATATTATGTCTGTACCACAAACACTAGCTTCTGGGAAGCAGGAAAGATGCTCCTCTCATCACATTCTTTGTCTCAGTCAGCTGCCTTTTCTTCTAGGCCTGGGCTCTCCAGCAGAGCACCTTGTGTTTGTGCAGGATGAAGCAGAAGATTCTGGAAATGATTTTCTCTCCCATGACAGCACAGACAGCAGTACTCCATGGTTTCTACGAGTACAGGAGCTAGCCCATGACAGTTTGATTGCAGCCACTAGGGCACAGCTCGCAAAGAACGCCAAAGCAAGCAATAATGGTAGGAGACTTCCTCTTTCTATTTGAAATGTTGAATCTTCTGCAAAAAGCAAGTAGCAGCAGCTGTTTCAGTGTTATCTATCACATTGCAAGATAGTTAATAAGTACACAGAGTCAGTATGTATGTCACTATTTAGTAAATTTAGCCAAGGTTATATTGAGGGTTTCAGTTAAAGCAAGCCTTCAGTGTCTCTAACTGGACACCATTATTGGCACTATTTTTGGCGCAGACTTAAATTTCTGGGAAATATGTCTACAGCTGGGATTTAAAGCAGTTTTTCAACTTAAACACCTACCTGGACAGAGGGGAACAGAGCAAAGCTATTTTTATCAACATCATCTGCAGTGAATAATGATGCAGAGTAGTCTTATGACCTCTCTACGGTGTCTTTGTATTCCTCAGGTTTTTTTTATTTATATTTATGGGAACCCAGTTGTCAACAGTTCTCTTGCAAGTTTCCAGCTTTTTATCTACAGCTAATTGCTCTTCAAGTCTACTTTTAAGCTCGCTAGTGTTCAATTTATTTATTGCCTGCCGTTGTTTATGTTCCTTACTGTACCCTCATTAGGTCCTGGGGGTCAAGGTTTTTTTTTTGGGGGGGGGGAGAAGAAAAGCTGTTTGACCTCTAAATTTTTAATTTTATGTAGGTACATATGTAGTTCTCAGAACAAGGGATATGTTGCGGCATCTGGTTACCAGACAAGGTAATCAGGATTGTATCTGATGTATAGACCTGTACCGTGCTAAGAATAATCTCACCTTTTAAAACTTTTGTACTTTCCAGAACATAGTCAGATATTACTGTACTTTGGTATTTTCTGTTACAGGTGAAAACATTCATCTTTGCTCAGGAGATGGGCAACCGAAAGACTCAAGCCCTATCCCTCATCTGTCCTGTGTGGAAAAGAAGCTGAAGTGCACAGTTGAGGGATGTGACCGGACATTTGTATGGCCAGCTCACTTCAAATATCATCTAAAAACCCACAGGTGAATGGACCAGAGATATCTTTTGACCTTGCAAAACCATGGAGATCTTCTGGACCTTATGAAGACCATCATTGCTTCCCACTGCTGAAAATTTTTCTTCCAGGATGAAATTGAGGGGGAATGAAAAACATAAGTGAATCACAAATTTAACTGTTGTTACACAAATTATACTTTCAACCCAGCCTCCTGCTCATCCCTAGTTTGGCTAGCAGATGCCTCTGGCACAGAAACCTATATTTTTAACTTGCTACTTGAAAACTGCTAACGCTTCCATGAAACCACTGTGGCTTGGGGGAAGTTGATATCTTTACATTATAGAAAAGTATCCTGTTATTAAACTGGAAAAGGTGGTACTGAGTAGGCTAGCATTAACACAAGTGCTTTTAGAAAAATATGGAATGATTTGATTCACTGAGGAAAGGGAAGACCCACAAAGAAAGTGCATACTGTTGTTTAACGTATAGATGCAGGGAAGTGATGGTGGCGGGGGGAGGGGATTAAGCCTCTTTACCAAAGCCCAGGTTCTCTTTATAGTTGTTTTAACCCCCCCAATAAAGAAAAGTCTCGGAAGTTTTAATTTGATACTATAGTAATACAACAGAGTTTTGAAGGAGAAGTAAATACTGAGTGCCCTTGTGTAAAGCTAGCTGCTGCCTTTAGAAGCAGTGTGACTCCTAATGTAATCTCTTTGCCACCTACACTGAAACACTCAAGCCAGAACTTAGGATCTTTTCTGCTGGTCCCTTAAGGATACTTGAATTTACAAATACCATTAATCTAAAGTCTCATGTGTTGAGCAACATGAACTAGCTTTTGCCATCTCAGATAACTTGGTTGCTCCTACCTAAATCCAGATATAGAAAGGGTGTCACTTAAGTTGGATTTGATTGATGTGGGGGAGGGATTTTATCACATATATGTAGTATATGACTTTGTACAAGGTCATCTGTCTCAACAAAGTTTTAACACCACTCCCCTCCCCTTCCCTCAAACCAGTCACTTTCTGTCTAAGAAACCAACAATGCATGCAGTAAATCTCTGTTCTAGGTGAGGAACATGCAAGGCAGTGCATGACAAGGGATAAAGAAGCTTGAATTTACTTTCTGATTTCTAGCTTCCCTCTGCTCCAAGAATAGATTTTACAACTTCTGGCTGAGTGATAACAGCTCATAACAACTCATTTTAATTAAATACTGCTGGAAGCTATTTCCTCTGGTTAGGCTGAGTAATGTGAAAGGAAGTTAAACATGTCATTTAAGAAATGAGGATAAACCTCGTTACGGCCCTACTGTTATAGCAGAGCTGAGTGTTCCTAAGGTAATCTGCTGCAGCAGTGGGTGAGGAAATGATTATTTTGTTGTTTCTCAGGAATGATCGGTCCTTCACCTGCCCAGCAGAAGGCTGTGGTAAAAGCTTCTATGTTCTGCAGAGGCTGAAAGTGCATATGCGAACTCACAATGGCGAGAAACCATTTGTTTGCACTGAGCTGGGCTGTGGGAAGCAGTTTACGACAGCTGGGAACCTGAAAAACCACGTACGGATTCACACTGGTGCGTTTAAATCCCAGATATTCATAGTCCCCAGGGGTGGGGCCTTTCATTCAGGAAATATTCACCAAGCAATGGTCCCAGAAGGGTATAGATTTAACTAACTTAATTGCTGTCCATCTCTTACAACTTACCATAGTCAGTAGTGTAAACAGTCATTTACCTTTGTACTGTCTAACATAATTCCTCTAACTTCTTGGGATTTACAGCTTTCAAATAGTATGTATTGTTATCATATTCTTCTAAACTGTTGCTTAGCCAAACTGCAGATTTCTTGATTTCATTTTTCTGCATTCTACATTTAGTCCCAGGGTTTTTAATTCATAGAAAAGTAAGTGGTTTCCAGGATCTGCAGTTACTGGGGTGGTGGGGGAGGAGTTCATGCTAAACATGAAAACAGATATGGGTTGCAATGGTGTACAGATAAATCTGTGTTGAATTATGTGCTGAGCTAATTGGATATCATCAATCTTAATTTTTCTTCCTGTTAATAACATTTATTTATTAATCTGGGCAACCTGAGGAAGCTACACGAATGATGGTTGTTCAGAATCTTTTGCCTGCACTTCACAGCTACAGTGCAAGTCACTACATGCTATATAAATCTTTTGTACAGATCCATCAGGCAGACGTTAAACTGAGCAATACGTTGCATGGGAGGAGGCTTTTAAAGAAGAGCTGCACTAGATGAATTTTCATGGTGGCTTGTCTTTCCCTATTGATTTTTATTTTGTGTAAAATTAATGGATGCAGGGAATGTGCTCTGTTGTAATATGCATAGTTTTGTGTGTCACCTCACAAAACTTGTTACTTAATTGTGTGCAGAATGTTTCAAATGTGCCCTTTATCTTGTGATTACAAGCCAGGAATCAACTTGGGTGTTTTCCACTAGGCTACAGCAGATATCTGTTAGCTTTGGTTTTTGTTAACATTCTCATTAGTGACCTGCAGGTTGGTTAGGAACAACTTAATAACACTTTCTAAAGTATTGTAAATTGGAAGAGGAGAAAACTAATGAGATTAGAGAAATACAAAGGGATCTGAGGAGATGCTAAGGGGAAAGTAATCAAAAGCATCGTTATCTTGTACAAAGCAGGTATATGGGAAGCAGATCTAGGGGATCTAGAACCATCTTGCCTGAACTTTGGTCATAACACAAGGCCAAAGGGAAGGAATGGGCAGGGATGCCTGCCACAAGGTGGGAGAATCATCTTTGATAAAGATACTAATGCTTATAAATGTGTTTTGTCCAACATAGGTGAAAAGCCATTCCTCTGCGAGGCACAGGGATGTGGTCGTTCCTTTGCTGAATACTCCAGCCTTCGGAAACACCTGGTGGTCCACTCAGGTAGGGAGTCTTGACTTGTCTGACTGAAGCCTTGACTTTGTTGCAGTGTTGTGGTCTAGTTTTCTGTAGGAATATCCACTGGTTTTTATGGAACTGTTTTTCGCTGCTACTTTTGATGTTTTCTTCATGCACTGCCTTTATCCCAGTAGCTGCTGTCTTCTGGACCTTGTATTGTTCATCCTTTGCTGGTTTCTCTATATTCTACCCATGTGGTTGGCCACCTATGGCCATCTGGCCTGTGAAAACATCTGATCCAGCACAGGGGATCAGTGGCATGGACTTGTGCTGTGCCTTGCATGCCCTCCTCAGCGCACCCCTCACTGGAACCTGCTCTTTGCTGCCTTTGCATTTTTCTCACTGCAGAAGAGTTGAGTATCTGCAGGGAGGGGGAGTGCAGCCAGCTAGTTGCTCCAGGTGATGGACACTTCCACCCACAATGGGTTGCTCTGGCCCATACTAGCAGAAGGCTGCCAACCCCTGTTCTACCCTTCTTCCTGCTGGTCCTTTCTAGATATAAAACTTCTAAATACACATTACAACCAGATTTACATAGTGTTACTAGGAGTTACCTACCTGATTCCACAGTGTGTTATAAACAGTCTTTCCTGTTACAAGATAAATTGTCCTTTTCCAATCCTTCTTTGCTTATGTTCATCAAATACGTTCTGCCTGAAGTCTCACGAGTAGTTTGCCAAAGAGAAGTCTGTAGCATTTAATCCCCTCTCTCAAAAAACTTGATGGTAATTGGATGAAGCATTAGAAGGGTGTTTGTAACAAAAAAATAATTCCTTTCACAAAAGTTTCTCCACTCTTTAAATATTGTATCTTAAACATGGTCAGCAGAATTCAAATGTGGCTCATTTTGTCCTCAATGAGGACTTTGCCTTTGTGGGAAGTTAGTGATATTTATTTAAGTTGTATAGTCAGTTTTAGACTGAAGCTTAACTTTCTTCCTTTTTTTTCACTCTTTGAATGCTCCCCAGAGCAGCTTGTACCTATGGACTACTTGCATCAGTGCTGGCGAAAATGCCATCTATTTGCCTACAAATAGTAGAACTGCACACTCAGTAGAACCTGGAAACTGGACCTTGATTAACCACTAAAGTATGGGCTAGATCTCTTATATAATGGCACAACTGCTTGCCTATTTTTGGTCAAAGTACATTGCAAGTATGAGCTATAGATTAAATGTTTAAAGGTTTGTCTTAAAAAATATGGATCAGAAATTCAAGTAACTATGCAGTGTGACAAATGTGCAAGAGAGAACCTGGTATTTCTCCTCAGGAGCTGATTCTTTCAACAGCTTGCAATGCTATCTCCTGAAGTTTTTAACTCTTCTTTTCTGACGGGGAATTTTCGTTATAGAAAGCAGAAGTTGCTTTTACCTTATTTTCTTTTTTTTTTAACTGGCTATTAATTCTAATGCTATACTAACTTTGTTCCTTGGACCTTCTACTGTCAACTTCAGAACTACCAACTTGTGTGTTGTTTTATTTTCCCCACTCCCCAACTCAAGGAGTGAAGCCCCATCAGTGCCAAATCTGTGGGAAGACATTTTCCCAGAGTGGTAGCCGGAATGTGCACATGAGGAAACACCACTCCAGAATTGGAGCAGCTGGGAACAGGGAGCGAGAACAACCAGGTGAGGAGTGTGGAGAGTTGAAGTGTAGGGCACAGGCATGTAAGGAGAGCAATAGGAGTTATGGGCTGAAGAGAGGATAGGCTAGCTGGGAATAGCAGATTGTCCCTCTCTAAGGAGGTGTGAGTAGGGTAGATTGGTATAGAGAATGGATTTTCATAGTCTCTCCCAGGAAGATACTCTCTTGTCCTTTACTTAGGATATTTCCATACAACAGCTGAAGAGCAGCGAGGCTCACACCTTTTTTTTAACCTAACCAGGGTATCTTTTGACCTAAAGTTCCTGTATCCTCCTGTTTTAAGAAGCTGAGTCACTCCTATCTCTAAGTCATTCACATTGTGCTTAAAACTCAGCCGGATAATATTTTTGAGCTTTTGAGGACGTCTGCATTATAAAGTTTGGGATTTTCTATTGGGTAGTGTGCTGGTATAACTGAGCCAGAGTAGCAACTGGAGATGGGTGTCTTTTATAATATGGGTCTGTGTAAGATGGAGATGTTATGTCCTCTGAGGGTGGTATGGGCAGCTGGGCTCTGTCCTGGGTTCAGTGTCTTGTTAGCTCATGACACGTTGCTTTTGCAATAGAGTCACTGGTGGGCAGCAGTTTGTTGGAAGAATCTGCAGTACACAGTAAGAATCTGATCTCCATGAACTCTCAGCCCAGTCTTGGTGTAGAGTCCCTGCACCTGCCGGATACAGAATCAATTATTGGAGTGGAGGAGGGTGAGACCAGTTGTTCCTTTTTCCGCCCTCTTATATGCGGTGACTGAAGTAGGATCATTCCTCCTAGGAGCTTGCTATAAATGCAGTGGGATGACTGAGCATTGCTTTCACTGGGCACACAGGGTGGGTAGGTAGAAAATGAATTGTGAAACTGGAGTTGGAAAAGAACTACTGGACCAAATTTCTCTTGCGTAACTTCAGAGATGAGTTCTACCCCTTAGGTGGTATGTGGCCCATGTCCTGGGGAGACTTCACAGAATTATTGCTTCAGTTCAGTCAAAAATCTAAAAATACTTGTATTTATTGGAGCCCTAGTTGTGGACCAGGACCTCCTTGTGCTAGGCTCTGTACAAACAGAAGAGAAACTGAAATGTCTCAAGCAACAGGCCTTTCATTCTTTACCATCAGAGACTATTCTAATACATCTCACTGTCAGGAGCTGACTCTTAATATCTGAAATAAACTACTTAATAGCACTTAAGCACATATGCTGTGGTTCTGTCTTTTTTTTTCCATCCCTTTGGCCCCAAACTTAGTAATTTTGTTAAAGACTGATATTTGAATTTGTCTGGTTTCTAACTGCTTAATTTCTCTCTTAGATACCTCAAATCTTTTGTCCGAGTGAAATTACCCCACTCTGGACTAGCGCTACAAAAATGGATATTGCACACACAGAGTGGCTCTTATGAAGAGCTCAGAGTGCTTTAGTTCCCAGTTGACTATCTGTGTTTGTAAAAGTATATTGCTACAGTATGTAAATGTGTTGTGATTCATAGGCAGGCAAGGTTCTTTGAGTGATATCTTTTATTAGACCAACTGAGTAGCTGGGGGAAAAAAAGTTTTAGGCAAGCTTTTGGGCACAATCGCCCTTCTTCAGGCATAGGGAGTCTCTGCTGTTCTGAGGTTCTGAGGAATGAGAAGCTAAAAGTGTAACAGGATGTCAGTGAAAATGTAGGTAGATAGAAATTGTGATTCACAGTGCATCTTGCTGAAGCAATGCCAGGCACCCTGCAATCAGTACTAGATGCGGTTTTGCCACAGTTGCATTATGGTAGTCACCATGTCAAGAGGAAGTAGATTTATTACAGTAATTTACTAGTAAACGTACTACAGTAATTTGACAAGTCAGTTGAGCAGGTCTTTATTCTTGCTTTAGAATAAAAACGAATAGTCTGATGAAATATTTCAGAACAAAAATGGAAGGTCTGTATTTCCATGCTGTTGTCTCAGATGTATTTGTAGAGCATAAGAAAAATTATTCCTGCTTTCAGAATGTGGCTTTGTTGTTAGAATGAACAGAATTTAAGTTACTCAGTTTGACATTCTTACTATGACAACATTACAATTTAAGGTCAAAATTATAATGCTTAGGCTTGATTTATCCTTCAAAGAAGACATGTAACATTTTATCAAATTATTGTATGTAATATTTTAAAACTCAAGCTTTTATTTTAGCAATTGCCATGCTCCCCTTTTTTCTCTTACTGAATATTTTATAGGGTAAATCTCTGAAGTCTCATTTAAATAGCATCAGATATTCTTATTATAAATGTTATCATTTAGTTGGCAGCTCTTGGGTGGTGGTTTAAAAATTCACTCTCCTTTTTAGGACATGGTAAATATGTTCAAAGTGGGAAAGAAAAACTAATAAGAAGACTTCTGTTGTCTGGGCTGCAGCTTTTATTGGTTTTGAAGCCTAGCACAGGATACTGTTAGAATCTCCAGGGCCTATGCGAGATATTGGCAAAACTGGACTGCTCAGGAATTTGAGTGTGCCAAACAGATCTTGCCAAAATATTGCAAAGTCAAATCTTCTTGGCCTTCTGTATATAAGGTGGCAATTTAAGCAGCCAAACAGAGAATGGAGAGAGTGTTTGAGAGAGATCGCTATAGATATATATGCCAAAGGAGAAGATAGCAGGATCGTCAGTAGTTCTTCAGGTCCTAATCAGTAGATGGTGATACTGTCTGGTTAGAACAGGGGTGGGTAAAATACAGCCCATGGGCTGGATCCAGCCCACCTATTGATTGTATCTGAACTGTGGCTGCCCCTGTGGTGCTCCCCATAGGACCAAGCCCTGCCCAGGGCAGCCTGTGCCATGCTCTGGAGGAGCCAAGGTACACAGCTTCCCAGGGCCCCAGCCCTAGCCAGTTGCACAGCTTCCTGCAGGGCTGCTCCCACCGCTGCTGCAGTTGCCTGTGTACTGCTTTGCTCGCCTTTCCCTCCCCTCCCCCAGTGGATCCTTCTCCTGCCTCTGCTACATTGGTCTGGACAGTGGGTAGCGTGGGGAAGTGGCAGTGGGCGGGGGAGGGAAGCTGCAGCTGAGCTGCTCCTGCCCCAGCACATGGGGCTCCAGTTGCAGCTCTTGACTTCCTTTTACCCACTTTGCCCAGCACAAGCCACCTGTGGGCAGCGGAATGGGTGGAAAGCAACCCAGCCAGGAAGCTGTGCACGCTGACCAGGGCAGGTACAGGTGGGGCTTTGCCCCATGTAGAGCACCATGGGGGCACTGTGCCTGTAGTGCAAGCTTTGCCCTGCCACCCCCTCCCACCACCCCCAGCTGGCTCCCAGGACCTAGTGCATAGGCAGTCCCCCCACACACATACCTCACACCCACACCCCCTGCCACACGCACTATATAAGAGTGCGTAATAGCTTAAAATAAAGTCTTTAATTGCCTCTACACACACTACTTAAAAAAACAAGTCAGGACAAAAAAAATTTTGAAATAAATTGAAAATATAGTAGACTTTTACTTTTTTATTTAATACACCATTTGTTTTCTATCTATAACTTGTTAAAATGCTACCTTCTGAAAGAATTTCTGTGCAGGCCCCAACAGCTCACCAAAACTCATTAAATAGCCCACCAGCCAAAATAATTGCCCACCCCTGGGTTAGAATGTTTGGAAGATTCAGGAAACTAGTCTTTCTCAGGTGCTAAAAGGAACAGCATTCTTTTAGCTCAGGCAAGTTCAGTTTATGCTACTTTGCCTCCATTCTGTGTGGCTTGTTTTTTTTTCCCTAACTGCTGTTTTACTACTGTGTTTAGAGACCAACGGTTGCTATTTCCTGTCACTTCACCCATTCCAGACATTTTAGGATTTTGACATACAGTAGGTACATGTGCACTTTACTGCAGTTGACTAATTAGTTCCACAGTAAAGCATCACTATCTACACATGTACCAGTATTAGGGCACAGTAAATTAATTAACTCCACTGTAAGACAGTAAGTACAGTCCCCAGCACTACTGTTTTTACAGTGAAGTACTTGCCTGTGCTGAAACATACCTGTAGATTGTGACGTGTTTGCTGGGGCACAAGGGTGCTAAAGTGTGGGGAGCTGCTTGCCACCTAGCCCTGCACATTGGTACCGTTGTACCCCAGCCAGCCTATTCACCACCACCACCTGGAGCTGACCCCCTGGACTCCCAAAGTGATGTGTTCCTTGGGAGCAGTTGACTCCAGCACAAACTCTGCCAGAATTTATTTCATCGCATTAATTGGACATGTTGACATACCCACTGATGTTCAACACAGGCTGGAGACTGGACTATTTTCACTTAAAAGTGGGTGTTTGTTAACTGGTCTCAATAGCAAGAATGCAAACTACTCCTACAGGTTTTGGTGAACTTTTAGGAACAGGTAGTGTGTTTGTGAGTACTATTGCAATTGTGGGTGATCTGGAGCAAGAGTTGCACCAGCTCTCTATGGAACATACAAGACTGTCATACTCTTCTGTACAGAGCTTTAATGTTGTTCTGAATTGAACATGTGTTCTTTACCATTATTCTATCTTTTTCTACTTCCTTTTGTAAGAAAAAAAGATACAGTAATTATAAATGACACATGTTCAGTTCAGAACAACATTAAAGCTATTAAAAATTAAAAGAACAGTTTTCTGTGCACAGATTTCCAATAGGAGACGCATAGGACCTGAATTAGAGCTGCTTATTTTTCATGACCTGCCAGAACCAAAACTAAACATTATCCCAGAATAGGATATAGGAGGTTGAAACAGATTAATGTTGTCTCCCTGAGTTCATTCCTGAAACTGAACAAGAATAACTAATCATGTGGGAATGGCATGTGCCTTTCTTTCTAATCCTGCCACTGGAAGAAAGGGATGCAGCACTCCCACCACCAATATCCTGAATAGCTTTCTGCTGAGGATAGTTTGTTCATAAACTACAATACTTTACAAAGCAGAGCTATCGCTTAACCAACCAATAGGTGCTCTTCCTGGAGAAATTTTGAGGTTGTGGATTCAGCAGTGTATTTCATTCCCATCCTTGCTTTAGAACTTCGAGGGTTTATTTCCTGAGTGACTTTAACTCAAATCTAAGGCTCCTTGTTGGTAATCTGGAATGCTGACATCACACTTTTTCTTCATTAGATACATTCTTGGAACACCACCTAAAATCATAGAGCCAGAAGCTAGATACCAGTTAAAGGACTGTTTCAGGGTCAGCTATGTGCACTTTGTCCCATAATACAATTTTGGTTCAGTGCTTATTACTGTTTTTAATGGGTTTTTTAAAACTAGAAATCAGAGGTAACTTCCCATATCCTAACGAAACAGCCTGTATGGCTCTTTGGCTCCTGATCTGGTTCACAGAGGGGTGTTTTTATTATGTTTACAACATTCAATTATACTTTGTATCTTTCTTTCTAAAGGTGTTATCTGAGCCCTGTGCTTGACTGCATCCTCTAATGCTAAAAATATATCTGCCACTGTACTTCCCAGTGGGGGTGATCATAAGGGTAGTGAGATCCAATTGTGAAGTCAACTGAAAATCCACCATAACTTTTCTGCTACAATGGTCTGTGGTGAAACAGCAGTGTTGGTGATTTGAAACTCCAGGATTAGCACCCTACTGAGATTAAAAGCAGTACCTCCCCACTCTTTTGGGACCACATGGATACCCCTTATAAATCCCATTTACTTGGGCTTTTAATAGAACATGAGATGCTTGCAGACAAAGGAGAAATTCT